TTATAAAAAATTAGAGAATTAAGTCAAGGACTCTAGAGAATACACATTCCGTATGGACAGATTAAAATGTACAATAGCTTCAAAAAAATCCATAAAGTTTTCTACACAGTGATTCGTGTAGTAAGTGCAAAAATACTGCAGTTTAGTTAATCCAAGATTTCCTGTTTTCCTGTTTCCTAGAAAAAGCAGAAGCTGCTGCATCTCCCGAGTGGCAGAGGACGTCTCCTCCAGTTTTAGAAGTGGATGATGAGCCTTGAAGCACAGAACTTTTCCGTTTCTCTGAAGCGGAAGATGCCTGAGGCCGTGAAGTGCTGCTCCATTTCCTCGTGGACGCTGGTGCTTTGCTGAGGCGCCCAGGACGAACAAACACACCGTGTCGTGGTTTGCAGTGGAAGTACTCTCTGCCCTTTACAATCCCATCGTGCTTCCCTTCAACAGAAACAAACGCACAGAGTTAAATGTCCGTACTTTCATTAGCACATACAATCGAGGCGCAGAAGTGGGAATAGCTTTGGTTATCTGTCAAATAGTCAGGATTGTTCATGCTGAGGGATGAAGCCAGATGCTCACCATGCATTAGGGAGAACAAAATTTGGAAAAGAGGGCTTGAATTGTGAGCAAAAAGATTATTTTCTAAAAGATTACTTTGTTAACTCGCAGTTTAAGAGGTCATTTGTTCATTTTACAAAATAAACTGTCCTCAAAACCAATTGCTTGTAAAGCTTAAAACTTATCTGCCAGACAAGCTTCTAGCATCAGCGATAATATCCACCAAACTACTAAAAACATCATCTTATTGAAGGATCTGAAGCATTTCTGTAGGAGTCTCTTAACACTTGCAGAGCATTGACTTTTTCTGACCCCTGTGAAATGAAGTTAAAAAACCCCCTGTGCTTCAGAATTCAGCTTTCCCCAATGGAAAATGAAAACAAATCTCTGAAATCCACTGACAGCAAATCTGTCTGACAAGTGACAGACACTGTTAGCACTGTCCATGAACATGTGCATGTTGATTTAAAAACACCCTGCCAGTTTTAGGCTTTGCTTGTTTCTCTGCTCTGCATAAATAGATGGGTACCAACAGAAACTACCACGACATGCAAGAGCTTTATCCTGCAAAAAAGCAAGAAGAGCAGGGCTTTAAGACAGTTAAAAATTGATCAGAGCATTCCTATAAACAGAAAGCTGAGAACTGGGTGTATTGGATATCAAGCTTCATGAAATTGGAGATACTTCCCAGGACAGAATGGTACATGATTGTACTGCAACTTAGAGCAAATCTAGTCTTACCCAGCTGAAAGTTGAGTTCAACTCCAACCCAGATTCCAGCTGAAAAATCCACCGTTCCAATGTATCTCACTGTGCCCATCTTATTACTTCCAACACAGACTTGTTCACCCAGGGCCACCCAGCTAGGTAAGATGTGGGCTTGATCTGCAGAAGCACCTTCTTCACAATCAGAACCATCCAAGTGGTCCTTCGTAATAAAATCGTCTACGGAAGCATCAGGATAAGTCTCACGGTCTGAAGTCTCTTTTACCAGTACAGAACAAAAAGGGCTTTCCACAGTGTCTGCGTGTCGGTCGCCAGCTGCTGCTGCTGCTGGGCTTGGCTGGCCCACGCACGTGCTCTGCTGCTTGTCAGGGCCTCGGGGTGCCTCCAGGGTGCTCACTCCATCAGAGGACAGAAGGGAACAGGACTGAGGAGCTGCTGAATGGTCAAAGTCCTTCCCATCTTCGACGCCCATGAACTCTGTAAAGGAGTGATCTTCCAGAATGTCTGTCGTGTGCTCAACTGTTACTTCGTGTGCTGAAAATTCAATTGTACTACAGGTGTTTTTGCCATCCAAGGAACTCAGAGCTGAAAGTGATACAGCTCTGGGTAACTGCTGAGAGTCTCTCTCAGTGGCACTGAGGGACAGTGGTACTTGCTCTGTTAAGGCACTGCTTTCTTTCAGTGATAACACAGGTAACTTTTCTCTCGCTAACTCCTTTTCTGACTCTCGACATTCTTTGTTCAAAGAAGATCTTAAATCATGTGCAAGGGATGATCCTGAGGGATCATTAGAGTCCAGCTCCTTCGTATGATTGGCTAGCTGGTCTGTGCTATCACTACAGGGAACAAGCATGTCAGACAGGGTAGCGTTAGAGGCACTGTGGGAAAAGTAGCCACTAGTAATACTGCTAGTGGTGGGGCTGCGGGATACCTCTTTCTCAAGAACACGTGAACTCATGAAGTCTGATTTAGAAGAAAACCATTCCCTGTTCTCCAGGCTAGCATTGTAAATACTGAAGTCAGCAAACTCCTCCGGTACGTAAGGCCGGAAATTTTGAAAACTTTGTGGACTTATCAGTTTCTTATTAATTGCCTCCAACTCACTGTCTTCCTCCTCAGAGTCCTGCAAAAGAAGAGAGAGTTGTGTGGGATTAGGAACCTGCAACAGTGAGGTTTTCAAAATAAACTAAGCTTCCCTGACTTTTTCCTTTGTGGAATATATACCTTTAATATTCTTTACCTGAAGAATGGAAGGCACCATTGAAAAGAGCTGCTGGGAACATACCCTGTCTACACTGAGCTAGTCAATCTTCAGAAAACAGAAAGCAATAAGAGAAAAGTTATATTTACATGTTTTCATCCACGTATGGTAAACATCTTTCTCCCATGATTTAGACTAATTAAACCTACTGAAGGTATTCAACAGAGCTAATCCACCACCTAACCAGATAAACACACATATGAATGGAAGAGGCCTTACAGGGTCTCTGCTGCAATACCAATTCTTAAAAACTTTCTTGCACACTGGGATTTTCTATTAACCTGATCTCAGCAAGGCTAAATAACTTTCCTCACCCACGGCTATCACACCTGAATATGTTCACAATATTTGAAAATAAAGGCAAAAGGATCAAATGTTACAGGAAATCTTCAGGAAGCATTTGTATGCATACATGAACAAGTGACACTGATCAACCTGGCAGAATTGGGAGGTACATCCCCAAAATTTCCCTTTGATAATGAGTGGGGATGCATTATGCCCAGGTCACAAATGTGGCTCTCACAGAGTCCATCTGAAGCTGAGGACTTCAGTCTGTAAAGATGCATGTGAGAAAGACCCCAGCAACATGATGGGGCTGCTCCCCCAAGATAAAATACTGCAGGCAGGACTCCAAATGGATGCTTTTGTAAGTACTTCCTTTTTTATATACATATGTGTGTTTATTTATACATATATATGCAAGTATAAACATATGTGTGTGTACACACACACATATATTAAAAATCATTAGTTTACAGCAAATTCCTACTAGAAAGAATAGTATTTTCAGAAAAATGAAAACTGCTGAAGTACTTTAGAGAAACTCAAACACCTATTATTTCTCAATTTTATCTGCATCATAGATTTTAAATACTGATCAAGGCAGATCCAGTGTGATATCTAAAGCAGTTTGATGCCTTCAGAAACCTGCTATGAATCACCAAAGTAAAAAGAAAAGCATAATAGTCAACCAGATGATTACTGAGAACCAACACATCAGGACAGACACCTTCTTGAAAATGTTTCCTATACTTCATAGTAGCCAAGACTGCTCAAATAACTTTGTACAACAAAGCTTCAAAATAGGTTTGTTCACTTTGCTCATGTCAGAGTAAATCTCAGAATTGTTTAGGCTGGAAGCACTTCTTGAGCTCAGTTAGTCCAATCTCCCCCTGCTCAAGCAGGGTCAGCCAGAGCAGACTGTCCAGAGAGCACTGTCCAGCTGGGTGAGTTTTGAGATCTCCAAGGATGGAGACTGCAACTTCTGCACGTGTCCAGAGAGCACTGTCCAGCTGGGTGGGTTTTGTGATCTCCAAGGATGGAGACTGTAACTTCTGCACAACTCACTCCAGTGTTTGACCACCCTCACAGTAAACAGAATGTTTTCTTGGGCACAGATGGAATCTTATGTGTTTTGATTTGTGTCCATTGCCTCATGTCCTGTCACTGGGCCCTGCTGAGAAGAGTCTGCCTTGTCTTCACCCTCTCCCACCAGGTGTTTTTATGTATTGATAAGATGCCCCTGAACCTGGTCTCCTTCAGGCTGAAGAACTCCAGATCTTCCAGCCTCTCCCCATATTATGTCAGATGGCCCTTATCTATAACAAGGTCTCATTTTCATTCCTACCATTTTCAAGCTCATAGTAGATATAATTCAGTGATATCACCTATGAAGAACAGCCTCTTAAGCTGACTCAAGATTTTCAATAATATTAAATTTCTGTTGGCACAGCAATCAATATCTGAAGTAGTATCTCTGCTTGTCTAAATATATCTGACAAATCCAGTCACATTTGAGATTATTAATACTTTTTCAAATAAGGCTTGGCATCCTTTGCTTACTAATTTTTACAGCTCTGCTTCAGAGCTATTTCTCATACAGAATTTGGATGGAGGCTTTATTTTGCAATTATTTATTTCTCTGAAGAGGAATTACAGAGTTATGAAACAGCACGTAAGACTATTGAGCTATTTATACTACCAAAAATCTTGTTATTTATATCTGAAATCTACAGATAGTCCCTTTAGAAGTAAAGGAAAAATTAACATCCACTTTACTGAGACTAAGAATACTCTTCCAAGCACTACAGCATTATGCAAGGCATTTCTTTTGCGTATTGCAATATACCTGTTGCTCATCTGAGGGACTTTTTCTCAATTATTCTGCAGACTCCTCCCATTTCCCCCTTTTTACTTGTGCAATTGTAAGTTTTGCTCTGTGCAGAACCTTGTAGTTTGTTTCTTGCAAAACACTACAAACTAAGACTTTATCAAATACGCTTTTTAAAGTTGAAGATAATATACGAACTCCAAACCAATAAGCATTTCACAGAGGAAGTATTTCTAGTCAATGCTAGATAAATATTCACATGAAAGCAAATGGCATTTTTATAACAGAGTTCTTTGGGTCTCCTTTGAAATTTAGGAGATTCCTCATTTTTTACATTTGACTGTAAGAAAAACCAAAACCTTAACACACAGTCTCTGTTCAGAATCAGACTGGGTGAGAGGCTGTAACTGACAAATGGCTCTGCAAACATACAGACATTGCTGACTTGATGAGGAAAAATCAAACAAGTAACCACATTGTCAATCATGTGTCATTTCAGGGTTATCTGTCATGGGAAATACAACAGCCAAGGCACAGGGAACATGGGCTCATACTAGAACGTGTTATGGAGAATGCTGTGAACAGGTGATGAGGTGTCACTGTGTGACAGACTAAAGATGCCCCTTGTGGGGACAAGACATATTTCATTTCAGAGCTCCTCTTGAGCTTCCCAATTGGGAAATTCCAGAAACAAAGAAATTTCAGAGTTCTTCAAATTTCTGTGGATGTAAGATGTGGGGAAAAAAGAAGATGCCTTGTACTTTTCAGGCTATTGGTAGAAACAAAGATAAAAATCCTTGAAAAACCGATGAAGAAACTTCAACCACTTCCCTGAATGAAAAACAGATTTAAGAACTGGTAACAGTGAGATTGTGACAGCAAGAACTAAGGAGACAAGACTATACATCAAGTTTTAGCAGTAACAGAAGCAAAACAAGCAAGAACACAGAGCAGCTTCCTTACACCTGCTTTGCAACAAAGATACTGTGTCATTAAAAGTTAAGCATCTGAGTTTCCAAATCCCTAAATTATACCTCTCAAGTACCCACAAGATGTTAGTGCCCATTTTACTAATTTAAAAATCAGTAATACTTAACAGCAGTTGCACCACTGGTGCTTCAATTTTCATTGCCTGCTGAGAGGGTTTCCTCTTAGCCAAATCCCCCTTGGACATGCTGATTACAAGCAGTATTTAAATACACTTAATATGAAAACATTTAATCTGACCATAACATAATCTACTGTATTCATATATTATATAAAACATGCCCTTGTATCATGCTGTTTTGAAGTTGCAATAATGAACACGTGTGTAAGTAGTGTCTGAAATTTCAGGCTAAATGTTCTATTCCAGGCCAACTGCATAAAAATATTTTGAACTGCCTTTTTTACCTCCCTTCGACAGATGTGTTTTGAATATTTAAGAAGAGTTAAGAACAGGTCTCAGAGAAACATGAGAAAAAGGCCAAACATCATTCTTATGTCTACTGAGATGCAGAACATTAATCTAGTTAATATCATTAGCTTCCTGTATGTTTAGTTGCTTTAATTCTATGGTGTTTTTTACATGCTGTAAGATGCAAGTGAGCATCACACCTGAAGCAACACCAATCATCCACTGATCCATTAGGAGTATGAATGAGGCTCTGAACCTTGGAGCAATCATGTACAGTATTGGTTGATAATGTGAACACTTCAGCTCAAACCTGACAGAGAGGAGCACACAGCTGAAGTTTCATGCTGAGCTGTGATGCTGCCCTAGTGTCATCTCTGAATTAATTCCAAGAGCACTATTCATCCAAATGTGTGGCATATATACTCCAGCCTAGTTAAAACTTAAGACTTGTTCCAGCTCTGTAAAACAGCCTGGGAAACCTACATTCTACAAAGGCTTCTTTCCTAAAGCAATCAAAATAACCCAGAAGCCATCGTTTGGTAAACACAAAGCCATAAGCTGGCAGGGCTATGCAGAGCAGCCTTCTCAACCTCCTCCCCACTAGTGGCTGCTCTTGCCTGTCTTCCCAGTACCACTCAAGGGTCTATAAGGTGATTAGGCAGAGGACAAGATCCAAATGGAAGACATGATCCATAGTAGTCTAGCCATCAACTGGATGGATCATTTCCCTGGGTCTGACTTCCTGTGCAAGCAAACAAAAAGCTATGTTGATGCAAGGGAGAAGTCAGTGCAAAGGTAGCAAGCAAGCACCTGGAACTCAAAGAACAGCTCTTTCCAGGGTCCTGTTGGCTACTGCGGGTTAACAGTGTTCAATGAATTACTTCCATTCTAATTGGAAAAGCCTGGTGGCAGGATGGTGCCCTTTTCCAGCTCTGAAAGCTTCTGCATATCTTTGGAAAGCAGCACAGGCAAATGCCTGGGTTAATTCAGGGCATGCACAGTGTGTGACTTTGTTTTCACTCGAGGGATTAAAACTGCCCTCAAGTTGCTATGGAAAATTTTGTAACACTTTAGTTTCCAAGGGATGTTTTTTTCAACCCACTAGAAGATTCTGTCTTCCAAATACCCTCATACTATTTGTATCCGTGACTCAGTGCGAGTCAGCATGTCAGCTGCCTTATGGAAAATTAACATGATCAAGAATAAAACAGCTGCCACCCCAAACCAGCAGCCAAGCTTCAAATACATACACCAGAACACTCAGGGTACTTTGGTCTAACAACCTACAAAAGAGCATTAGAAATCTAGAACAGGTTTTATAATACTTTGGCCATACGGCAGGAATGAAAATAACTGTTGAATAGGAAGAATCCAGCACTAGCATTTCGTGGAAAAGAAGCCTACAACATTTACAGGAAATAACTTGAAGGTTCTGAGTTTTAAATCTAAAGCTCTGATTAAAGCAAGTATTTGCAGCCATGTTCCACAGCCCCAAAACCGAAACCATCATACAGCAGAAACAATGAGACACCTTTTGTTGAAGCAGCAGTGAGAAGAGGATTTGGCAGGTGAAGATTAAATAAAAGCCCTCCACCTCAATTCAGTGCCTGAATTATGATGAAGACAGGCTGCAGGTTAATTCAGAGCAGCAATCTTATTTTAGTCATATTACTTCCACATCAGGCAATGATAAGCTTTTTATAGTGTACCCACACCTAAATGCATGGTTACTTACACCAAATGGGATCATTCCACTTACTCTGGGGTATAGTCACAAAATCTAGGCAATATACAAGGTATATTAGAGTCACAACAGGATGGTTCACTACACCAATCTTTATCATTTGTGCCCTGTAAAAACTAAAGCCCCCTCCCCCCAAGACAAACCACGTACAAATATTAAAAACAAAAACACAAAACAAAACAAAACCAAAACATCAGGACCCAATCGAGTTAGTTCCAATGACAGATTCCATGAGCAAGCCAGCCAAGCAAATGTTATAACCATTACCTACAATCAATCACAAGTGGCTATATCCACATTACAACATTTTTTTTCCTGCTGCAGCAAGTGCCTTAAGCCCAACACCAAATGGCCCTAAGCCCACCACCAGGCTTTGAAAGAGAAACTGGTACAAAACTTACAATCTTTTCCTCCCGTACGCTATTGCTGTCTACAGACATGCTGCTGGCACTGCTTCCTGCAGGCACAACACAGCCAGCACAGTGCACCTGAGATGGAGGCATGCTCTGCAAAGGTTAAGACACACAACACATCACACAAACCACAACTATGGCCACAGTGCCAAGTGCTTGCCAGGCTAGAAAGGCATTAAGATGTGATGAAAGTGAAACACCCATGCTGGCCGTACATATACATCAAAATTCTAGAGAAACTCATGTGCTCGTCCATGAGTTTTAGGTTGAGGAATAAAGGTCAGAATTTTAACCAGCCTAGAATACTGTTTCACAGAATTACATTTTATCTATGAAAAGACACACCAACATCTTGCTGGAGAGAAATAAAAAAAAGTAGGTAACTGGTACTTTAAAGTAGAAGTAGCCTGTAAAGGAGAATACTTACCAAGAAGTAAAAATACCCAAAAAGAACAAAAAAACAACCAACCCCAAAACCAAACCCAATATTTCAGGTTAAAAAACCCCAGCAAAACCCCATCACATATAAAGAGTGGCCTGAATAATTTTACCAGAGGACTACAAAATTCTGTTGCAACAGATACAAACTATTTGCCAAGTACACAAAATCACTCGATCTCCTTTCATAAAGCAGGTGGTTTTCAAAGATTACCTCTTGACTGAGCAGAGGTCGGCTTTCAAGCGGGGTCTTCCTTTTATGTTCCTCTTTCACTGGCATTAAGGGCTTGAAAAACTTTGGTGGCTGAGGAGAAAATGCTTTAAAAGGGCTGGTCATTAAAGCATGGGAATTCTCTGCTACAACACCTAGGTAAAAAAGCAAACATATTATGTTTCAGTTCTTGAATGCAAGAGCATAATTCAAAATAGCTGAAGGTTAAGCCATGCATTTGGCAAGTTGCTGGCTATACAAAAATGTCAGTATTTTAGTATCCAACCACTGGCCTAAGCATGAAATAACACAGAGCTCCACTAGCTCCTCTGAGAAGTCTGGAAACAAAAGGAAAACAGAGACTAACATTCTGAAGCTCCAATATTTCTCCTTTTCATCTCAGTCCTTGGAACTGGAACTAGCAAGCTCTTTGCTTCCTGTGCCTCCCCTGACCTCTGTCCACAACACTGCAAATCTGCCCTGTAACCAAGCCAGCCATCCTGCACAGCCAGGCCACAAAGCTGATAAGAGGACTGGAGCATCTCCCCTATGAGGACAGGCTGAAGAAGTTGGGGCTGTTCAGCCTGCAGAAGAGAAGACTGCGTGGAGACCTCAGAGCAGCTTTTCAATATCTGAAGGAACCTACAGGGGAGCTGGAGAGGGACTGTTTGTTAGGAACTGCAGTGGTAGGACAAGGGGTAATGGGTTCAAACTGAAGGAGGAGAAGTTTAGGTTAGATATTAGAAAAATGTTTTTTACTGTGAGGGTGGTGAGACACTGACACAGGTTGCCCAGGGACGGGGTGGATGCAGGTGGATACCCCAATCCTGGCAGTGTTCAAGGCCAGATTGGATGAAGCCTTGAGCAACCTGGTCTAGTGGCAGGGAGGGGTGTGACTAGATGATCTGTAAGGTCCATTCCAACCCCTAAGATTCTATGATGATTCTATGAACAAAATGGAAATTATAAGCAAGGAAGCAAAGAAAAAAACTCTCAGTCCCACTTTCCTGCAGTAGTATCTCTACCTGCATTGCCTATCAAGAAGAGCAAGTTCCAATGTGACCCAAAGAAAACAAGGTACCTGTTACACACCAACATGGCATCACAGCAAATATCCAAATCATGTAAAGAACCTGTAAAAGGACACTTCCCACTTTAACAAAATCATCTTCATTTTCAAATTCATAAAATAACTGCAGCTGGTTTCTGTTCTTTTGTCTGTTTTTGTTTTGGTTTGAGTGTGTTTTTTCTTTTTTTTTTCCTTCTAGTGTTTTGATTCATATTTAGCTTTTTCTTCTGCCCTCTTGGTTTTTTGGCTACCCCCAAATTTACACACTTTCTTGGATGTCTTAGGCATTTTTCCCTTTTTTACTGATTATGTTTAGCTTTGAAAACAAGAAGCTGAATAATGCATTTAGTAGGAAGAGAGCACTGAGAATTTAGTTTTCAGTTTAATGCAGTAAATAAAATTCCACCAGCACTGTCATTACATATATTAAGTCTCACCAGTGCCATCTTTGCTCTTGCGAGGTGACTCCCTGGGTAAAGTACCATAGCATGATACATCTTGGTAACTGGAACAACAGTCAGATATGTCTAGGTGACTTTCAGACCAACCCTAAAAAACCAAAAATACATAAATCCATATGCTGACACAGGCAAATGTGGAAAAATTAATAGGTAAACTCGGGGGGGGGTGTTTGGTTTGTTTTGTTGTTTTTTCTAAAGGAAAATCAAACAAAACCCACAAACCAAAGGTATGTTAAGTTATTGACTTCAGACCATTTTCCTGTCTCTTCCAAATGGATTGTTTTAAAGCTAATTAGCTTTTCAGTGAAGTGTATAAAGTTTTGCCCTAACTTCCCCTTTCTTAAGTATTAGTTTCCACAATTCTAATATGAAAAGCAAAGAAGGGCAAGAAAGTTTAATTCAAAATAATATGCAATTGGTGCAGCATTTTGAAGATATATTATGTAAACACACTGCTTTAAAAATACCGCTTTCTGATCCTTTTCAGTTCTCAAATACATCTTGCTTTGAGATGTGGGAAATCTGAGGCCATGCACTGTTTGTTGTCGCATTTACATACCTTATCATCTTCATCGCAGGCAGAAAGATCCAGTCGGCTACAGGATACCTACAGAACACCAACAGACACAATGACAAAGTGCCTACCTTTTATCTATAAAATGTAATGCCTCAAGGAAACACTGTCAGCATTTAGTCTGAACAACTTTTCTGCTGTCTCTTTTCAGATAAGATTATGTATGAAGACAGCTGTGTTTCTGCTGGGTGATAGAAGAACACAAAAATGCACACAAAACGCAAACTACTCCTTACACTATGAAAAACGTTAAAGGGACTTGCAGGTAAAAGTCATCTGAGTCAGGACAGTTGTCATCCTAAACTACTTTCAAAACAAATATCCTTATAAAAGGAAGATTCCTTATAAAACTCTTCAATCAACCCTCCCACTTCCCTGTCAACTTCATTATCTCCTAGGATGCACTGTTGCGGGGAGGGGTTTCAAGTGACTTATTTTCATTCATGACAACTTTCCCAGAGGTGAGTTAGTCCTAGCTCAGAATAATCACTACCATATTACATTGTGAAAGCATTACATCAGTATACAAACAGCATCTCCCAACCCCATTAGTGCTACTTTTCTGAAGGATAAAGGGTCCTTACGTTGTGGACATTTGGAGTGCTGATGCTTCTGCGGATGTTTCTCGCTTTGGTGGAGAGAGCCTCTTTGACTGTGACTGCCTGAGCAAAGAAAACAACACACTAAAAACCATACCATGGTATCCTCATGAGAAATGACCAAGCAGGATAGATATTTTCAGTGTGGCTAACAGCAGCAATCAGAACTTGCATTTACAAATCTTAACTCCCAAAGTTTCAATCTGAAATTCATTGTTTGGCCTTTGCCTGTTGATGTTCTGAGTACTACAACATTGCCAGCTATAGTTACTAGACCCACCACTACTGGAAATCTGTATCTCACAGAAGTAACTTAGTCTTACATTTATCTGTCCAACATGCTCTAAAAAAAACCAACTGAAAAAAAAAATCCCATGGTATTTTAAAAGATCAATTATTTCTACTTGAATTCTCCCAATCCAGTGCAAAGGGTGCAAGAAATGCCTGTTCCTTACCTGTCTCAGTCGTTCAAGGCTCAAAATATTCTCCACCTGCAGCACACCACGTGTGTATTTTTCAATGTACGTTTCACCATCGGAGGTTCCCTCATTCTCACTTCTTGCAGCCATCAGTGCTAAGGTCTCACGATCCTCGATTTCTTCTGTAGCCTAAATTACAAGTTACACTATTGAAGTTTGTCAAAAGTAGAGCCCATTGTTTTTTATGTACTGATTCACTTCTTTACATCATCTCAATCCAGAAATTAATTTGAATTGATAATCTTCATCAGTAAACCTAATTACAATCAATAATCCAAGGCTTTTTCAGAAGAGATGTAAATGATGCCGAAGACATCATGCTTAGAAGAAGTTTTGTACATTTGCTGTAGTAAATGCACGTCTAGAAATAATGCATATATAACCTGAAATGACTGTGTTAAGGATGACAACTCCCTAGGCAAGGAAGTATAATTTCCTTCCCAAATTTTAAGATACGCTGTGATTTCCCTGGAGCTTAAAATTTAAGTACTATCACAAAAAAAGGAGTGACAATTACATGGTGATGGACTATTTATGTTTTCATTTGTCCAGTTTGTTTACCTTTAAAATAAATCTTATAGCACCTTTACAATTTGCATGAGCTTTTTCTGTTTCCCAGCCATTCTGTTTTCACTGACCTGAAACCTCCTCTCAGTACCCTCTATATTCTCCCTGTAGACACTAATGGGATTTCAAAAATAACTCTACTACAAAAACTCAGTTAAACACAGTAGAAAAGAAAATAAAATCCCCACAGTTTTCAACTGTTTAAAGATAAACATGATCTCACCACTGAACTTCAGTATATACACTTTGGCAAGCTGCCCCAGAGCAGCAAGGCAGAACATTTGCTTCCTAACCAGTATCACCCGCTGCAGTAGGTCAATCTTATTTCTTTCTGTGAATCTGCCAGAAAAATATGGTATAATTTACCTTTGGTATATTGGATACTATTTCATAAGTCACTCCACAGGCATAAAATATGTTTTTCAAGGATATTCTCCTTTTCAGGCTCTGGGTAAAACTCTAGAAACAAAGTAATTTTCAGTTATTGTTTTGATAATTATTATTTATGACATCCTAAGATATAAAAGAGTGCAATGCAAAAATCTGATTGCAAAAGTGTTCAGGACCATTAAGTTCCTTTTTAGCATTAATGATACTTTACATACTCCTTCCAGCCCTGGGCTCAGTACACAACACTCCTAGAGTTTGATCAGTTGAAAAACAGACCGTTCAAAGGAATATACCAGCAGTATAACAGCTTCACTGCAGCCTACAAAAATCCTGCTTTCATTCATATTTTAAAAGAATTGCAGAGACCAAGCTTAGAAAATGAAGCAAGCAGCTAAAAAACCACATTAATAAAATTAAGAGTACGAGACCAAATTAAAAATAAAAAGTATATATAAACGTGTTACCTGCTTGTTATAAATATTGGCTGCAATCCTTTTGCGTAACACCAGTTCCATTGCAGCAGGATGACTGAGCTGCACAGTAGTCTTCACTATTAAGTAAATTCTCTCATTTTGAGGAGTTACCCTATTGAGGTGCACTGAATCATGGACAGAAGAGTCCCAAGCAGCAGTGGCTGAAACCTGTGCAGACAAATTAAGTGGAGGAAGGAAAGGGAAATCAGAAATTCAATTACTCTAATAACAGGTAGAATTTGCAATGATTTAACATGAAGTAAAACAGCTATTTAATGAGAGAAAAATCAGCATCATTGAACAAAATGGAATCAAATCTCATTTTCATAGGAAAGAACTTATCAGAAGAAGCATTAAAAAAGGTGTTAAGATATTGGGGAATACAAACACGACCACAATCCCTGCACTGTGGAAACCCTGACCCAAAAGGAAGTCTTCACACAAATGAAGAAAGAAAGGAAAGCAGAAGCAAGACCGGAAGAAGGAATACAAATCCTATTGCTACTGTATTAAAAGTTTATTAATTTCAATGTAAAATCTTCCATCTGCATTGAATTAGGTTATAATGGCCCATAAAGAATTAACATGCTCCTATTCTGCAGAATTCTTTTTTCCTTTCCCCTGCCTCCTCCCCAGCTTTAGTGTCCCATTTACTCTGGAAATGGTCTCTTAAGCAATGAACTGAGTACGCACAGAATATGAAAGCAATGAGTTAAGAAATTCCAAAATTGATTCAGAACCATTAATTTCCAACAATTCCCAAACCTTATGTTTAATAAAAGAGCAATTTTGTGCTACAAATGAAAAAGTTTTATGTAAGTATTAAGCTTTGCCTAGTGTGCACAATTAACAAAGCAGTTTTCTCTGAAGAATCAAGAGCCTGCAAGAGGAATGATGAAGGGGTGAGGAAAGCAGAAAAAGGGATTTTGAGTCAGGCAGTTGAATTCTTATTTTGCCAAGAAGAGCTAAGACTTGTCATCTCTGAATTAAGATGGAAGAGCTAACAATCCATATCCTCTACATTTAAATAAACAGGCCAGAAAATAGAGGCAGCACTAGATAGAGATGGCACTTCTAAGACAAAAAGTAATAATATAATAATAATGATTAAATACATAGAAGTAGAAAATAAAACATAAGAAGAAAGCATCAACACAAGCTGCAGTTGTCAAGAAGGAGTCTTGCTAACAATTTACCTCATCATCACTGTGTTTTATGATCGGCAGATAAAAGAATGGACTCCCATGCTCCTTTGGTAGTATTGAGTTAACTCCTGATGCATGGGGACCTATAAGTTGTTCATTGGCACTGAGGTCATCAGCTAATGAAACAAATGTGCAAAGAATGAAAGAGTTTTATACCAAAGGATATTAATATATAGAGGCAAAGTTGTAACACAAAGTCCTAATAAAGTCCTACCCATATTTCATAATACATTTAGTCCTAATTAATCTTATTACTGTGCAGTATTTTAAAGATGATTTCAGCATTCGAAAGAAATTGAGAATAGCAGTTCTGGCTACACTAGGCTTTTCGCTAAACAAAAAAACCCAAAAAGCAAGTTGTGCAAAGATGCATTGACCTGTTTAAATATCCTGTTTGATCTGTCATCTGCTTATCTGTACTGATAATGAAAAAAACCCCCAAAAAAACATTCCTTGTGAGCATAGATGAAGGAAGAGGGTGCTTCACTTTCCAAAAGCATTTGCTAAAGCAGGTATTAGTGCACTGCCCATATAAACATGTCTAGTGCTGAATGTGACAAGGCCTGTGGGTTCTCCTCTGCTTTATGTTCAGGTTTGTAATTACAGACTTGTTTCCTAAATAGTCTGTACATGTGGTGCTACCTCTAATTTCTTGTTACTTCACTGTGTATCTGTGTATTTAAAATATGTATCAATAGTCTTCTCACATGTAAAACTAGATACCTTCAAAGGGAGAACATGTGGATTCTCTAACAAAAGGCTCATTATAGTCCTAATACACTCTTCATTAAACCAGCTGTTTGAGACTCTACAGTTACCTCTGGGGAACAAGGTCTGAAAGCAGTGGGAGATTCTCCATCAGTGCTTTAATGACATGTGAATTTGTACATCAAAACTTTTACAGGATTTTCCTATCTGCTGTTCGATTTAAACAAAGCTGCTTCCCTATGCTATTTTCTGTGGCACAGAACATCCCTGTATTCATATGTTCCCTGATTTTTATCTTTATTTTAAAATAGTTGTGCTTAATTATGCCAACATACAGAACCAGAAGCAAAAGCATTTTACAAGCCATATCAGACAGTGCTATTGCCAGGATTAATTCGATTTCTGAAACACGTCAGATTCATCATTCCATTTAACAATCTATTGACCCAAACTAATCCCCCGTTCCCCTCCCCCCAAGTTTCTTAATCTGCTGTTACTACATACCATTCAAATCAAGGAAGAGGACAGGTATATGTGTTTCCATTCCTGCAGGTGGGATCCTGAAACAAAACAAACTGCTGGCAACAAGGAAAGCAAATTCATACCTAAGCTCACTTGGGCAAACAGATCTCCATCCATATTCATTAATCGTAACCAATGGCTAGAGCTGTCAACATGTTGATGGCTAATCTCAATGCCTATGTGGCACACACAATATTTGTTTATCTACACATGGAAGTAAATGTAGTGCTTTGCCAAAATGTCATTCACACCGCACAGCACGTGTCACTTGCTGTGAGGGCGAGAGTTTAAACATCCTGTTCTATTCCTTATAAAGGCAACTGGTTGTATTCATCTCATACAGAAAGGTCAGCAACCTTTCAAAACACTGGATATGTAACTGCTGGTATGGCATAGCCTTTATATGACTAAAGACACTTTTAGCCATGACCACAGCACACTTCAGGTGGATGAGGGGAAAAACAGCAAGGAAAGAGTATTGCTACATCATTCACTCAGTGAAGAGGAGATGCTAGGTATTACCAGAGACCATCAGTCTACACTTGGTTAGAGTCACACTTCTTGTCCATATTTTCCCAAACCTAACATTTCTCATTTTTGCATGTCAATTCCAATGACCTTAGTTAAGGCATGGTTTAAATGAAATTAAAAGAGAAATGTATTATAAACTCAAATGAAACAGAAGAGAACACATCTTTTGAAACCACAGTTTGTTCCCTCCCCATGCTGTACCAATGAAATTATCTGTGTTCTACCATTCATTTTTGAGCCATTCCTTGCCTGAACAGAATTGAACTATCGGATAATTTTCTCAGAATTGTATAAAGTTGCAAAATACTATGCTATATTCAAAAGTGATTTTCAAACTTTGAGAGCTATCTCAAAGCTACTTTATTTAATAGGTTAACTAAGCAGCCCTTTCTTACACTGACCTCAGCCCCTGACTGTCTAGCCTTCTGCCAGCTGAGTGTAATTTGTAGTATTGCAGGAAAATGTAGAAAACACCAAGAAATCCTTAGATTTTTACCTTGAAGTGTGCAATGTTTATGTACAAAAAGCTAACAACTCCCATGGCTTTTCTGAACATACCAATTTGCGGGGGCACCGGGAATTCCACTGCCTGGTGCTGGAACAAACACTGCATTCCTCTCTTCTGTCAGCCCTACCCACTGCTCGACCAGCCGTGCTTCTCGTTCTATATCATCCTCGGATTTTTCTACAGTGAAAGAGATTAGGATTACATAAAAGACACATTTTTTGTGCTACAGGGCATAGAGTACTTATGGCAGAGGCTTCAAGGTGCAAACCTTGTTTGTTGCTGATTTTCTGGATCTGCTCATCTAGGTATTCTCTGCGTTTTATTAATGCATCAGACCACCTTTCTCGTACACAGTTTAAATCTTCTTCCTAATATGGAAAGAGAGAAGAAAGTCATTAAGCTATGTGGTTAAGAATAAAGGGCAATGAATTTGGTGGCAATTTAATCAGAATTTATATTAAATGGCTCGCATGATGCAGAAAACTTTTTCCCCCAAATGACATGCACACTAAGTACCTCATCACCCATGAATGGAAATTTATTTGCTTTCAAGTCTCAGATTCCAACAGGAGGAAAAGAAAATGTGACTGCCTCTGCTGCTTTACAGATTGTACACCACAGGCTAATTACTCACAGAAGTGGCAATCAAACTTTTGAATAGCATATAGAATAGGAAAAACTGGTATCATCAGTTGATCAAAAGTTCTCCTGAAGATTAGACAGGTCAGTACACCCTCAAACCTGCACAAAATTCCATTGCTAGCAGCTGCTATCAGTGCAATTAAAAGATTTCTCATGCAAATAAAACCCATCATGCAATCATGCTTTGTCGTATCACAGAAAATCCGGTTTGTTCTTCTCTGTGATATGCCAGGAAGCGCATTAACAGCCCGCAAGAAGTTAGTATTTAATTGATTTTTTTGAGATTACTGTAAAACCTAATACATTATCTTAAGGGATGTCAGCATTGTCACCTAACTGGTTTTACTTCTGTAAGACTGCCCATCAGAAATAAGTCTTCTATGAAGAAGTCTGAAATGTATTTTACTGGTTTAGGCATTTACTCTTCCGCCCTTTGTCATCTTTTAAAACAGTCTCCTGTTATAGTGTATAAACTGTGACTGTCTTATATATACTTATCATACAAAAAAACAGGCTCAAGGTTTGCTTTCATGTGAATTATTAAAAATTGCTTCACTGAAGCTTCTGTTTTTCCCCTCACTCATATCCTCCCCTCCCTCTCCAACAAGCATTTGAGAAAATTGCACAGCTTAAAACTTCCTGATGTTTTCTTTAGAAAATAAACAAAATATCCTATGCTGCGTAATTTGGTTGGAAAAGGTGCCTGCAGCTGCAGGTGGTTGTTGTTCTTTTCACTGGAAACTGTTTTCATTCTAAATCAAAGCTTCTAAGCTTTTATTCCCATTGCAATTCATGTAGCCAGTTAGGAGAGCTGACTGCGGAGTACTAGAAAAGAGAGGACACTGTAAGAGTATAAAGTCACAAGGTGAACTGAAATAGCAGTGTTTTATAGCCCAGGTAGCCTCTTAAATGCACAGCACGTGTGTATCAAAGCTGCTTTTGCTTGCTCCAGTATGCTGGTTCATTTGAAAGTTGTTGGCTATTAGCATTAGCTGTGCCCCCATGCCGCAGGATTGACAGCAACAGCAGCAATACCTGGTAACTATCCATATCACCACCATCATCCTCCTCCTTCTGGTAGGAGAAAATAAATTTTGTAAAACACAAAAACCCACGCACTTTTCTTAACAGCAACTCACAGAAATAACCCAAAACATGAGTACAAACATTTCTGCCTTAAACTTGCAAAATGTTAAAATGACAACATACAAATAAACAAAGTCTTATTAACAGGTAGAAAGACTTTTTTTCATTGCAGACTACAGGAGTTCAGCTGTGATTTGAGTATTAGTGAATATATTTATTAAAAACCAAACAATTAACCCCCCCATAGAATACAGTGCCAGAAAAAGGACTGAGCAAGCAGATCACTAATCTCTAGTTTTATGGTTTCATCTGTGTCTAAGGCTAGAATTACTTGTGGTTCTGAATGCAATCTCTCTGACAAAAGGAACGCTGCTTCCCTGGGTAGCCCATTCCGCTTGTTCTTTGCCAACACTGTTAAAATCATGCTTTTTTTCCAATATGAATTTGTCCTCTATCCGCTTGAAATAATTTATGTTTCTTAAGGACTTTTTCTGCTACATGCAACAGCCTTTTCACATTCAGTGATGCCTGCTTTTTCATTCTGATCAAACAACTCAGTGCTTTTTGAAAAGACAAATAGTATTTCACTATAAGACATTTTCTCTACTAAATTTCTTTTTTTTTTTTCTTACTTTTCCTCTCCTCAACTTTCACCATCCCTGGAAGGGAGGGAAACTAATAGCACTAGGAATCTAGTATTAATCACCTTTACACACAACGAACAATTTACTCTGTCTTGTATATATTCTCATACCACACTTGGTACTTTACAAGTTATGCATTGAGTTACAATCAAAAAAAGAATCTGACTTAGTACCACAGGCTTACATTATATGTATTAACCTGAAACATGTGAAACTGCAGATAACGTGTCATGTACCAGTGTGTCCTTCTGCAATTATATTGTGCTGGGTCTAGAACAGCAAAACCAAACCAAATTGAGAAATTAACTGCCTTACCTGATAGCTGTCCAAGCCCCTTTGCAGTTTGGTTGATCTGGCAGTCACACCACCTATAGAGACTGAAAGAATTGCTTCTACCATGAGAGGCAACGTTCCCGAATGCTGTACAGGTTTCACCGTCACCTGAACCCTGCGAGAATGACCCTGAGCAGGAAATCGAGAGAGACAAAGAGAGAAACTAAGAATAAAATTAAGAATCAATTAAAGTCAGAATAGAACAACAAGGAAAAGATACATACCTGCCTAAGCTGGAAAATTCCCCCTGTGTTTACATCTTTTGCCTGATGGAGTTCAACTGCAGTATATTCTCCCATCTCATTCAATTCTTGTATGGAAATCCACATTTCTATTCTTCGAGTCACTTCATTCCATCTAAAAGACACCCCCACAAAAATTAATGGCTGTCTCAAAGTATGTTGTGCACCAACATTTAGAAAGCTTTTAGAAAGTTGATGGAAGCATTAATTTGTAATTTATTTGTACCTGTCTCTCAGTGTCCTAGTTTTAGCATGAAGAGAATCAACTTCCCAAATAGAGTTGCCATTGCCAGTACATCTGTGACCCCACACCTCAATAGCAAGAGCTCCTTCTGAAATGAACTCCAAAAACTCCTCCGTGACATTCACCACATAGTCCTGGCAATGAGAAAAACAAATCACATTCCATAAAATGAAATAGGCTGGACTCGATGATCTTTGAGGCCTCTTCCAACCCAGCTGATTCTATGACACACCAAACAACTAACTACCTCCATGGTAAAACAATACAGTTTGGATCATAAAGCTTGACTCTGGACAAGAAAGGTGTAAAACCTCATTATCTTAGCAATTCCTGCATCTGCATTCCACATTTCGTGCTTTGAAAATTTCCATAAAAACAATGTCACAACTTATTGAGCTTACTGAACAAGTATATGATCAGATGTCATTATACAAACTATAGTTTCTCCCATGCATTAAAGATGACATCTGAATTTAAAAGATTTTTTCCTTTTGTTACATTTTGAAGAAGTGATGAAGTGAAATATTATGGCATTCCTAAGTACAGTCAAAAGTCATTAGCTGTACAGCTTGATGGTCTCCTTCCTTCCCCAGCAAAACAAGGCTCAAATTCTAAACAGTTTCTCTCAAACATATCCTCCTCCTGCTAACATTATTTATGAATAAAAATACTTACCTTACAGTGAGAGAAGGTCACTGTAAAATGAGCATCTTTGCTCTGAGGTGAAGGCACATCTGGGTCTACCACTGGTGCTGCTACTGTTGATTCGCATTGATCCCAAAATGTATATTGACAAAAGACAAAGTTGGAGAGATTAGGTGGCAGTCCGGTTGCTTCTTTTATTTTTACCTGAGGAGACAAAACAGATGCCATAAATATGACTGATTCTTCTTCAATTGCAAATTGAAGACCAACAGCCAAGAAGAACTTTAAAGCACAGTAAGGATGTCCCCATTTAGGAAATCTTATTTTGTGTCTACAGAAATGCAGATGCAAGGAAAGCAGTTGCATGCATCTAACCCATGTACATGATTTTTTTCGAGGAAGCTGATAAGCTCAAGTGGAGAATGAAATGCTTCATCACAGAAGAAATGAAATCCATACATCAGCCCTAGATTAAATGATCAAACAAACCATAGGAGATAGTTTCAGAGGCCTGAAAGTGTTAACTTCATCAGGTGTCCTCACTTACCCTGCAGGAGAGCTTTTTTGTTCTATGAATAATTTCTCCATTGTTATCCATGACTTCCAGACTCCCACTCTCACTGGAGTTCTCAGACGAGTCATCTCCTTCTACTACACGTTCTGGGACAGACCCAGTGACTCGCATTACTTCAACATGCAATCGTCCTGCAACCTAGAGCCAAGCAAGACAAACACTAAGAACCTGTGCACAAGGGACTTGGATATCAACCATCTTAATGCCTAACTCTAGGAGTCATGCAGAAACAGAACTGAACAACTCTCAACCACCAAATGAAAACAACAATGTCAAAAAAGAGAAGAAAGGAATAAAAAAGCCCAATAAATTGTATGTAGAACTACTGACCTTTCTAACGCACATACAGCACAAAAGGTACACATTGTAAATACTGTACATCAGAATTTCAGTGTACTGGGTTTTGCTCAGTTACCTACACTGATACTAGGAATTTTGTTTGATTTTAACAGCTAGGCAAGTATAAAGAATTAAACAGAAAATATACATATCTGCTTGAATAGAACACCTATTCACTGGGGAAACAAGACAAAAACCATCATTTGCTTGATCAAACCTCGATGTAGATGAAGCCTCCCAGCAAACAAAGCCCGATGCATGACCCATACAGCTAGGAGCACACAGGTATGCAGGGCCCAGCTTTACCTCTCCCTGCTGGCTGATGATGGGCACAGCATACTGCAGCTTCACATCGTAGAAAAGGCACTCCAGAAACACATTGGCAACGCCGATCAAGTTGTGGTTCTCCTGTGCTTCATAAAAAGGATCACCTCTCTTGCCAATCAGCTTCCTTATCTGTTTTAGAGATAATAAAAGCCATGTCATAAAACATAAGCATGGGAGCAGAGGATCAAATAACCTCATAGCATAAGATCATGGCACAAAAATGAAGTCACTACCAATCTTTTCTGTTCCTTCCTGTAACACAAGTAGAAAGAGACTAGAGTCATGTTACAAATCTGAAATGAAATCTTTGAGATGAGACATTATCCAATCCTTTCTTTACTAAGGGATATAGTAATATGATGACCTACATTGTTTAGTAATGTCAAGATAAAGCAGACTTTACCATGAGCAAGCACAGTAGGCATTGAATTTGAGATGTTTCACCTTATTTTTCTGCTCTGTTCACGCTTTTTAAATGAGAGGACAAATCATCCTCAGGTTGAATAGCTGGCCTGGCTGCTGGTTACCACTACAAGGGCAAAAGGGAAAGTGTAGAATGACTTCCTACTTAGGCTTACAAGTGTTATGACTGCTATAGAGCAGAGATCACACCTACAGCATTTTCTATGCAAGTACCCCATACACAGCCACAAGAATTCATGCAGATTCCTAGCATGATATGCACTCATTGGTGGATTTGTTAGCTCCTTCCCTTCTCCTCCTCCTTCGTCTTCAACACATGCATTTGACCTACGTGTTTCTATGTAGCACATAGAACACATGCATTATGGACGACATAGGTCATGGAAAGGATGATCCTGGCTCAGGCAGACAATGTATTCAAAGGATGTGCTATCAGTTCTTACTAAAGTCAGCAGCAAAATCATCGTTGTCTTCAATGGGCACAGATGAAGTGCTTGACCTCCCCTGTGTTATGATTTTAGAGATTCCCATTGTCCCGTCCAAAGCATGTAACAAAGGCACAACAGTTGTTCAAACATATTTGAGAATGATTCTTGATACAAGTCATTTCGGTGCTCCCTATCAGCTGCAAGACAGTAAGATATACTTCCTATGTACTTCTACCTGGATGCTTAGATGATGTCTTCTGGAACACCAAATGTCATGTCTCTTTCAAGTAAACAAGCAAGCTTTTGACAAGCCTCATGCTTATCTGCCAAGACTAATGTACTACTTAAATTCTCACAAAACAACACTTAGTTTTGATGGAAATTCTGATGTCGACTAAGTACCTTTGACCGATTCCTTCACCGCTTTAAGGCTTTGGGATACACAAATGAAATCAAAGAATATTTCATATTTTAAAATCAAGTTCTAACCCACTAATATGTTCTGCACCTTGAGTGTATCTAAGCTTTGATATTGACTGCAATTTAATAATTTTATTTATAATGCAGCTTGCTGCTTTTGTTCAGAGCTGGTTATGCCAGGTAAACACATGCTCTTAGTGGTACCGTGAGTCACTACCTCAGCACAATTATATCTGACCTCAGCACACATATCTGAGAACACAAGTGAGACAGGACATAGCTGTGCTTTATTATGCATGGAGATTGTGAATATTTAGTATTAGTCATACTTTTTTTGTTTTGGTTTTGTTTGGTTGGCTTGATTTTTAAGAATAGACCACAATACCCTAACCTTTCATACACAAAGTCATTGCACTTGGTCTGCACAACATATTAAAAGAAGTCATAAGAAAATAAACTCAATCTTTGATTAATTTCAGAAAATATATAAATTACCTCAGGAATTTTCTCCTTCCACTCTTGATAGAGGTCTCTCATGTCAATCAATTTGTTCTCTAGTTTCTCAATAGTCCACACTTGAGTACCTTTTCCTTTTCTTCTCACTTGAATAGCAGGCTCACTTACTATTGCACCCCTCTAAATCAGAAGAAAAAACAATCATTGCAGGAAAAGGTGCATGTAAGTAATTTTACTCTTCACTCAAATTGCATTCCTAAAAAGGAATAAAATACAGAACATACAGGTTCTCTCTGCATGCCAGCCATGCTATCTCTGTCAGCAAACACAGCATGCTCCATGCACATCTGAGGATCCAGATCTCTTTATCCTTCTGAAACAATGGCCATTCCCACAGGAAAATTAACACTCAATCAAATCCCTTATGACAAGCACATTATCCTAATTGCTATTATTATATTTACAGTGGTACCATACAACCCTTAAGACACTAAGATTGTAGGCAACTGTAACAAAAACCATTAATTTTTGCAAACAAAACTAAAATGCAGGTTCTGTAGCAACAGAGCACAAATGTCTGTTCACAAGCTGCATGTGTACATGGTAATCATATACTTGAAAGCAGCGAGAGCCACACTTGGTGCTATGTTCCCATTTTTACTTAATTACTCCCTTTCAATATATTAGTCACATAGTACCCCTCTTTTACCTATGTATAATCTTCACATAGTACCCCTCTTTTACCTATGTATAATCTAACAAAAGTAACATATTATGCTCTCAGGTTAGATAAATGTTATGTAAATCTACACAGTTTAGCCATAAAACTGCATTTTTCAGCATTCTTTACTGTCATTAATTACCTTTTTGTTGGCACTGAGGTTTTCAGCAGGGATCTGAAGTGTTACTTGATAATCTGTTAGCTTACTCATTTCTTCTGCTAAGAAGTTTGCTTCTCTCACCAAAGTATTTGCCTTTACTATCTGCTCTCGAAGTTTAGCCAGGCTCTGTCGAAACAATTCATCCCTGTGGTGCAGTAGGTAACATGAAAAATACACAGAAACCTATTTCTATTATTGGAAAGCTGCAAGTAGAGGTGCTAACAAAGACTTTTCTGAAACAAGTTTGAGAAGAAATGCTGTACAGCAAGCACTATGTCAGCAAACATGAAACAGTGTCAGACAATTTTATTGAGGAAAAGCAGTGATCACATATTAAACAAACAAATTACTGTTGAGGCAAGTCTAGCACAGTGAAGCCCAAATAAAAGAACACGGTAACACGGGAGCTGTTACAGTGATGATTTGTTTAATGCCCTAGGGACATTCCTAATTTTCAAGAAATTAAATAATTGCAGCTGACTGTGTCTTTAATCTGGAGTCCTGTTCCGCAGAAGTACCAGTCCCAACATGTGAGACTTGATCTTGATAAAACCTGCTTTTCCTCAGATTGTGATCCTAGAACCTGCAATCACTGCAGGCCACAGCTTTACATCACAACTAGGGCTTTGCAGTGCTACAGACCCACAGACTTCCCTCTGTATGCCTAAGCCATCTCACGCATACACATTAAAAAACTACAAATAAAAAATCTTAAATCCTATGTACCCAAAGTATCTTTTAAGTAAGAGATGAACAAGCACAGGTTGAAGCTTGTGCACTCAACACAGTTAACAGTCTCTGGACAAATTCCAAGAGGGTTTCTAAGGCCTGTCTGAGCAAATCTATTCTCACGTAACACCTGGCAAACCTGCTGTGACACATACTATACATACACCTGTGTACTAAGATACGCTCTTGCCCGGGGTTCTTGTCTTTAATTTGCCTTTACAAGTACCATGATTATCTTCTGAGCAAATGCCCCCAGTTCTGCCTTTCTCTGTAGTCCCAACAGCACTTACTGCATCTCATCCTCTTCAAAAAACACATGATTAAACTTTGGGTATTTCAGTCACCAGCACACCCCTGTATGATTTTTTAGCTTTTCTATGCAAAGTCCTATTGAAATATGATACATGTTGTGCACATGCACTTCTCATTTCTACAAAACACCTTACATTAAGGACAAGCCTACGAGGAACAAGTAAACTCCTGGGCCCTGCTGTGAACACAGGCAAAGTTTGTCTACTTGGCTTTATTCAGATACCCTTAGATCTTTCATATGCCTGCACAGTACAAACCATAAATAACTGCTAATATGCCTCTCAGTCACCAACAGAATTCTACCTGAGTGGCTATCTTTTTCCAAGATATCCCAAAGAACAGCCTGACAAATCTGAATTGCACTCTGCCAGTCCCTGAGACCACAGCAAAATGGTAAACAACCAGCAGCATTAGCAAGCAGCCCTGAATTTTAGTGTCTTCAACATGCTAAAACATGCAGCTTTGTCTCTCTCTCCTGTCTGGCCTAAGTTTGCAACAGTGGAGGGTTTTGTTGAATCTTAAATAGCTGCTACTATCAGCAGATTTTTAGTCAACTTCCTCCATATCTGCTCCCAGCATTAGATGAAAAATTCCTTTCCATATCACTCTGCCTCTTGCTTCTGTTATCCAGGCTATTGCCACTAAATGAGTAATTCCAGACCATATGAGTGACACATTCCACAGACAGCTATAATTTTGGATTCACCCAGAAAATGGAGGTAGAGTCAAGAATTACTCACTAAAATGTACTTAATACTCAGAGTGCACTACACATGCAACCACTCCAAGAGAGCTGCCCAAGGTGAGAAACAGAAGGCAGCTTTGATCTGCATGTAAGCACTGCAAGAGCCATCAGATCCAGCTGCAGACAGTCCCTTCCCTGATCTGGGACACCAGCACCTGTCAAGCTTTCTGGGGAGGCTCCCACACCCATCTTCACTAGATTCTTGAGAAAGGAATGGTTAAGACTGTAAGGAGATCTTACAAGTAACTCAAGCAATTATTATGGGCAGTTCTCACTACAGTGGTGTTTTTCCATATGCAGCTGTGCCAGTAGCCATCCAGAAACTCAAGCAAAAAAAAAAAGTTTCAGATAGGATTTCTTAATTCTTACTACACAAAATATATGACAAGTTCTGTTAGGATATTAACTGCAGCAAATACTCCTTGAACATTGAAATCCTGAAACAACAGTCTAAGCTAAACAAGAAAAACAACTGACACTCATGAGGTATCATTGCAAGTCTCTGGGATTTCTAATGCCAGACACAGAATACACTGAACTACATCTCTGGTCCAGTACATCACCACCCCAACACATTAAATTGGTTCAAAGTTACAATGGGTTAATGTTATGACAACAGGATTTCACACCAGGTCAGGTATCATCTGCCCTTCCATAGTCAGCAGAAAGCTGGAACAAACTCTGCAATGTGTTCCAGCTGATCTAACAGACACAACCACGTGCCTACATCTGATACCTTTCAAGCTCATCTTGCTGGCTGATCCGGTAGAGCTCAGCTTCATTTGCAACAGCAACAGATAAAACCGCACTAATCAAATCCCGTGCAATCCAGACTCTTGGCTCCTTCACACATTTTTCACATCCAGTCTTCCCATTCTTTCCTGGATTTCATGCTCTCTGGCCAGCTGGCTGGTGAACATCCTCTCAGCAACATGTTGCCATGCTTTTACAGCAGAAATCCCTCACAGATTGGTTTTTCTGGTTTCTTATTTAAGAAGATTCAAATTTTCTCCCCATTTTTCAGAAGCACAAACCTCTTCTACAACTATTAATAAAAAGTATGCCTAAGAGGATCCTCTGGAGGACAGGAAACTGATAATTAGTTCTTCCAGAAAACTGCTTATTCAATGGCAGAGTCACCAAATATTATTAGATTCCTCACTGGTGTCTCCAAAGAGCAAGTACATGCTACAAGTGGATCAACAGTTATAAAGAATAAAGTATTCACCCATGAAATCCAGAGGCAAAACTGCTTAGTCAAAGTACATCTACTCCTAAGAAACATCTAACAACTCCTGAGAAGTGAAGGCAGGCAGAACACTTAGATTTGATATCACTCTATTTTTTAAATGTGATTACATTGTGATAGTGTTTGACTTTAAGCTAATCAGTTACCCTTTTTTCTTCACAGCTCTCAAGGACAGGCAAGTTTCTTGCCACTTCCTTTTCCCTTCCACTGCACCTTCTTAGAGGTACTGCCTCCCTTACCAGTAAGCCCAGTTCTCATCTCTGCTACTGATGTGGGTTATTAATGATTTCTTGATGGCCTTGCTGTGCTCAAAGCAGTTCTGCATAGCAAGGGCTTCAGGCAGTGCACTTCTCACTCTGCACTCCTTGTGCAGCCCTAAAAGAGCCTGCAAATCCCAACCACAACTCTGCAACATTTCACATTCAGTTCCCAATCATTCTGGTTTTAGGTCTTACAGGGGGAAACAATTATTTTAATTAATGTTGAACCACAGAACTACTTCTCCCTGTGCTTGCCATGAGAAACATTCTAGTCATTGCTGGTCAACAGTTAGCTATTTGCTTAGGTTTTTTTTCCCAGGTCAAACTGGGCAAAAATTACAAAACAAAATCTTGCACAAAAACTAAACAAAGATCTGTTCTGTTCTAACACTCTCAGTTTGAAAGCTGCAACACAGTCTTGGCTATCTTTGTTTAGACTCCTCTTGTAAATGGATTTCATTTTGTAATGGTAGAGAATAAAGCAAAAATAGTCAAGCAGAAAAGAGCACTCAAATTCATACAGGAATAAGGAAGTTTCTGGCTTAAAAGAAATTTATGAGAGA